GGCTGTGTGTCTCCCGGTTCCCTCCCGGTCGGGTTGAATTCATACACACGTTGGAATGTTTGTATGTGCACTTATATGTGTCAAGTAGATGAAATAATAAGTTATGATGCAACACACACTGTTGCTGTCAGGAAATTTTGAATCAGTGAGAAAATATTTTCTGCACTTCTGATAAAAGACGCTATCGCGCCCTCTTGTGGATAGATCAATTATCACATGAAATTTCATATTATCGTACTGTAAACTCGTGTAACATTTCCCACATTGTTCAACATTTTACACTGTGCTCGAATGTCAAAAATACAAACATTGTACAGCAGACGAGATTTTTGTGTGTGTGTAGCGTCTTGCAGGACGTACGTATCCTCTGCAGATGCTTTTTGGGGTAAGGGCTTCCTGGTGACTTCCATTCGACAGCAAGCCCAGACCGCAAAAAGACCCGAAAAGAATCTGATGTGCGTCACATCACACTTGCTGCATCATCTGAAACACACGTGCATACAACCATCATATCCAATAGCCGTAAACGATTATATCTTGGCAGAGCATAACACATAAAATATTGATCACATAAAAAAGTCTATATCAGGGATCACCAACGTGGAGCCCTTGAGGACCACACCAATAGCCCGCCAGTGCTACGAGTGTGATTTGCTTGTAGAAATTATGATTTAAAAATGCAAACACTGGCAGTATTGTGAGACATCTTTAAGATGATCAAAGCCTGAAAATTTAAATAAATCATTCAGTATTAAAAACAACACATTCTAATATTATTAAATGTAATTCGTACAGATGTTATTTCAGACGTGTATCAATTTGGTAGCCTTTCACACAATCAGTACACATGAAGTAGCTCTCACTCTCCAAAAGGTTGGTGACCCCTGGTCTCCATACCTCTTTTCAAATGCCAGAATTTTGTGATGTCAAAACTAAGACCAAGATAAATCTTTTTTTCACGATGAATGTACCTGGATAGAAAGTAAATCTTTTCCGGGGCGAAAATAAATATAAGCAATTAAGATAATGTGGTTGCACAAGTGTGCACAGCCTCTTTTAGCTGAGTATTTCCCTGTGTTTAGAATCAACCAATCACATTAAAATCGCTGACATCAGGATGAAACTTCATTTGTGGTCATTTTTGTGGTCACCTGAAAAGTGATTATTTTGGAAGTAGATTTTGACCTAATGGCAGTGAACCACAAGTTAAATGGGAGTTGGCACATGGCTGCCACCATTTAAAGTGCATCTGATTCACCTCTAAAAAAGTTCAGATGTTCTAATAGGCTTTTCTTGCCTTTTTTTCTGTTAAACATAATCCTGAAGGTTTTACGTGAACACTGACTGCTATTTGGAACTGTTCATAATTGCCTCCACCTTGACAAGAGCCTAAGTTCCTGCCAAGGAAATACAAAAGCAAAACATGATCCCACCATTGTGATTCACTTTAGGTATGAGGGTCTTTTGAAGTTGAGCAGCATTGTGTTTGCACTCAACATACTTTTAGGAATTACAGGAAAAATGTTTAACTTTTCGTTTCATCTGACAGATTTTCCCAAATATGTTTGAGGAATTTTGTTATGGTCCAATAAACGCAAAGCTGAATTTCTGGTAATTTATAATGGTCCCAATCCCACAAAATCCTGGTCTTGGAACAGGTGCGTAGACTTTTTATATGAACTGCAGATCTAACTATGATTGCTTAAGCATGCCATTACCCATAATACAGCTGTCAAATGTATTTAGTTTTATTTGAGTGCTGTATTTAAAACAGTGCCATTTTTGTCCAAACATAACAGATATGTTTGAGCACATGCACAAAACCTGGATGTAATTACCCATAATGCAAATTTCACGTGAATTCTGTAGCGGTGCAAGATTTTGTAAAATTGATAACAATTCTTCAAAAAAATCAAATAAAAAAAAGCTTCACACTGTTTAATCCAACTCCCCGGTTGAAGTTTCCTGTCAAACTAAACATGCAACAGAAACAATTACACCATGTGTATTTAAAATGAATTACAATTATGTCATCCTTCTAGCTTAAAGCTCACAAACATGCAAAAAAAAATAAAATGATAGGCTATCGACTCATAAGTGTCTATGTGTTATAATCCTATATTTGAACATAAACGGTTGCGTAACGGACAGTGTGTGGCACATATGCTCACGGACTGTATACTCAACTGTATATTCTTTGTCTCCTGTGAAAAATGGCTAATAATATGACAGCTCCTCTGCCTCAATGCAAGTCCGGTTGTCTGTATTATAATGCCCCCAAGTGGCCAACGTGTGCACACCAGAAGGGGCCTCAGTCACAATGAATTGTGAAGCTGGCTGGCTGTGTGTCTCCCGGTTCCCTCACGGTCGGGTTGAATTCATACACACGTTGGAATGTTTGTATGTGCACTTATATGTGTCAAGTAGATGAAATAATAAGTTATGATGCAACACACACTGTTGCTGTCAGGAAATTTTGAATCAGTGAGAAAATATTTTCTGCACTTCTGATAAAAGACGCTATCGCGCCCTCTTGTGGATAGATCAATTATCACATGAAATTTCATATTATCGTACTGTAAACTCGTGTAACATTTCCCACATTGTTCAACATTTTACACTGTGCTCGAATGTCAAAAATACAAACATTGTACAGCAGACGAGATTTTTGTGTGTGTGTAGCGTCTTGCAGGACGTACGTATCCTCTGCAGATGCTTTTTGGGGTAAGGGCTTCCTGGTGACTTCCATTCGACAGCAAGCCCAGACCGCAAAAAGACCCGAAAAGAATCTGATGTGCGTCACATCACACTTGCTGCATCATCTGAAACACACGTGCATACAACCATCATATCCAATAGCCGTAAACGATTATATCTTGGCAGAGCATAACACATAAAATATTGATCACATAAAAAAGTCTATATCAGGGATCACCAACGTGGAGCCCTTGAGGACCACACCAATAGCCCGCCAGTGCTACGAGTGTGATTTGCTTGTAGAAATTATGATTTAAAAATGCAAACACTGGCAGTATTGTGAGACATCTTTAAGATGATCAAAGCCTGAAAATTTAAATAAATCATTCAGTATTAAAAACAACACATTCTAATATTATTAAATGTAATTCGTACAGATGTTATTTCAGACGTGTATCAATTTGGTAGCCTTTCACACAATCAGTACACATGAAGTAGCTCTCACTCTCCAAAAGGTTGGTGACCCCTGGTCTCCATACCTCTTTTCAAATGCCAGAATTTTGTGATGTCAAAACTAAGACCAAGATAAATCTTTTTTTCACGATGAATGTACCTGGATAGAAAGTAAATCTTTTCCGGGGCGAAAATAAATATAAGCAATTAAGATAATGTGGTTGCACAAGTGTGCACAGCCTCTTTTAGCTGAGTATTTCCCTGTGTTTAGAATCAACCAATCACATTAAAATCGCTGACATCAGGATAAAAAAAAAAAAAAAAAAAGTTTTTTAAGTTTTTTTTTTTTTTTTTTTTTTTTTTTTTTAGGGTGGTGTGGGGAGGGATTGTCGGGCCGCTATTTGCGGGCTGGCCCAGTACCTATCCCGCATTGATAAAGAGGGTCCGTTGCGTTACTATTACAATTAATATTAATGCAAACTTCCATGAAACATGTATGTTTCACCTTTACACAGTTTTAATCAAATTTTACCCATTTTGACATATGACAGCAATAAAGATACCCTAAATGTCATTCTTTAACCCTGAAATTTAAGACTTATACGATATGACCAAAAATATATGAACATGAAAATATTGAAGAAAAAAAATCAAGTTAAATGTTGGAAATCCGTGAAATTTCACATGCCATAAATGTGTGTATTTTTATGGGTTATTGGTAACAGTGTTCAAAAAGAGAGCTTGAAACTGTCCCAAAGAATTGTCTTTGTTTCCACTCCTTTTGCATCGATGTTTTTATACTGTAAATGTCCTCACACATGAAGTAGCTCTCACTCTCCAAAAGGTTGGTGACCCCTGGTCTCCATACCTCTTTTCAAATGCCAGAATTTTGTGATGTCAAAACTAAGACCAAGATAAATCTTTTTTTCACGATGAATGTACCTGGATAGAAAGTAAATCTTTTCCGGGGCGAAAATAAATATAAGCAATTAAGATAATGTGGTTGCACAAGTGTGCACAGCCTCTTTTAGCTGAGTATTTCCCTGTGTTTAGAATCAACCAATCACATTAAAATCGCTGACATCAGGATGAAACTTCATTTGTGGTCATTTTTGTGGTCACCTGAAAAGTGATTATTTTGGAAGTAGATTTTGACCTAATGGCAGTGAACCACAAGTTAAATGGGAGTTGGCACATGGCTGCCACCATTTAAAGTGCATCTGATTCACCTCTAAAAAAGTTCAGATGTTCTAATAGGCTTTTCTTGCCTTTTTTTCTGTTAAACATAATCCTGAAGGTTTTACGTGAACACTGACTGCTATTTGGAACTGTTCATAATTGCCTCCACCTTGACAAGAGCCTAAGTTCCTGCCAAGGAAATACAAAAGCAAAACATGATCCCACCATTGTGATTCACTTTAGGTATGAGGGTCTTTTGAAGTTGAGCAGCATTGTGTTTGCACTCAACATACTTTTAGGAATTACAGGAAAAATGTTTAACTTTTCGTTTCATCTGACAGATTTTCCCAAATATGTTTGAGGAATTTTGTTATGGTCCAATAAACGCAAAGCTGAATTTCTGGTAATTTATAATGGTCCCAATCCCACAAAATCCTGGTCTTGGAACAGGTGCGTAGACTTTTTATATGAACTGCAGATCTAACTATGATTGCTTAAGCATGCCATTACCCATAATACAGCTGTCAAATGTATTTAGTTTTATTTGAGTGCTGTATTTAAAACAGTGCCATTTTTGTCCAAACATAACAGATATGTTTGAGCACATGCACAAAACCTGGATGTAATTACCCATAATGCAAATTTCACGTGAATTCTGTAGCGGTGCAAGATTTTGTAAAATTGATAACAATTCTTCAAAAAAATCAAATAAAAAAAAGCTTCACACTGTTTAATCCAACTCCCCGGTTGAAGTTTCCTGTCAAACTAAACATGCAACAGAAACAATTACACCATGTGTATTTAAAATGAATTACAATTATGTCATCCTTCTAGCTTAAAGCTCACAAACATGCAAAAAAAAATAAAATGATAGGCTATCGACTCATAAGTGTCTATGTGTTATAATCCTATATTTGAACATAAACGGTTGCGTAACGGACAGTGTGTGGCACATATGCTCACGGACTGTATACTCAACTGTATATTCTTTGTCTCCTGTGAAAAATGGCTAATAATATGACAGCTCCTCTGCCTCAATGCAAGTCCGGTTGTCTGTATTATAATGCCCCCAAGTGGCCAACGTGTGCACACCAGAAGGGGCCTCAGTCACAATGAATTGTGAAGCTAAATTTAAAAAAAAAAAAAAAAAAAGTTTTTTAAGTT